ATATAGATTGTTATAATCTACAAACAGCTATGAACGATTAGTTGGCCAAACATCGCGAAGCTCTAGAAAAGAAAACGTGAAAAAAATATTCGCAAGCTCCCCCCGGATTGTTTACTCTATAGATCGATCCATAGATCGATGCATCGATCCATTGATCGGTCACTGAATTGAATTTAACCTCATAACAATAGTGCAAAGCAACTTTGCACTAAAAAGGGCAAATCTAATGCTTGTTTTAAAAACATTAGATATGTAGAAATGGTGACCACTGAAAAGCCCATTTATAAACGTTTGTTATAAAACCGCGCTCGAGTGTGAAGAGAGCAACGATTTACTTGGTTTCTTGACTTGACTGTTGGTAAAAATGTAAGAATGTTCTTGTAAATTCAAAGCAAATAAAATAAACAAAAATTAGCAAGTATTTGGAACTTACTGGTAATAGTTCGCAAATTAAAATTTATGTTTTTAACTGTTTGTAATTTGATACTTTCTAACTTTCACCACACCCCCCTCGGGCAATCAATTTTAGACGAGGCACGTGACCAGCCGATACCAGGGCCTTTCCTAAAGACCCTGGGAACGAGGTTGTCTGAACTGTTAATTATCATGCAATACTGTACCCTGGATTCCAGAGCCTTCGCGACATTTCAATTTATTATTTACTGTCGAAGGCTCTGGAATCCAGGGTAGCAATACTGTTGCATATGGGTAATCGTATTCACTTTTTCCAACTTCGTGCCCAGAGCTGGCATGTTGACTTGTTTACTTTTGTTCATGAACAACAACATCAGCGCGTTATTTAGTTGACAAGCCTTCGATCAGTCATCATTTTCCGTTCATCATCATCGCCACCATCATCATTTCCCAATTTTCCCCTGTGATGTATTTGCGCATCTGCTCAGGAAATTGCTCTACCTGCAGATGCACAATTGTATTCTTTCAAACATCATCGTTAAATGACAATCTTCACCCAACATAACGCCTCAAGGTTCATCTACGTTTATGTGGAGGCCCCTTTATCGAAATAAACTATATATATATATATATATATATAGTAACTTTAAATTTTGTAACTGATCTAATTAAAAACATTCTAATGTTAATTAAAAAGTTTTTTAAAAATTTTGCTAAATTTTCAGCTGCAAACTGTTAGCCTTCTTCTGAGCAATGTGGATATATACTAAAGTCAGATTGAATTGTTTTTATAATGTCTACTGTTCTGCTTGATTGAATTAATCAACGGCAAATAGCAGGATGGAAATTCAGCATGTTCATTGCCGTGTCTTTGTTTATCACCGAATGTAGCGCTTCGAGAAAAATCCTTTGTGTATAATTTGTAACTCCTTTCTCGAGTATCACGGCGTCTGACTTTGCGGCATCGTGTCCGGTACTTTCTGCGTGTTCTTTAATTGCAGAAAATATCTTTTTGCGAATTACTCCTGGCTTGTGCTCCAACCATCTAGAACACCAACATCTCTTCGATTCACCGATGTACGAAAAAGAGCAGGATTTGCATTCATATTTGTACACCACAGCCTTTGTCCTCTCCTCTGCATGATGGTCTTGTCTTTGGTATGCGAAATATATTTGTCAACGTACGTACAGGAGTAAATGCTACCCGAACTCCTGCCTTTGTTAGAACACTTTTTACTTTTTCAGAGACACCTTGCACGTATGGGAGACACGTCGAACCTCGTATTTCATTTTCCACGTTTCGATCTACTTGTGTACGATCATTTATAACTTCCTCAATGAATCTTTTCTTATAACCATTTAATTCTAATGCGTGCAAAACATTCTCAGTCTCTTCAGCCTGTAAAGTCGAGTTATATGGAATAGTCTTTGCTCGATCCAACAACGTTTTTATAACAGCTTTTTTACTGGAACATCACGATATTTTCCGATGGTAGCCATGCGACTGTTTAGAAACATGGACGTCTGACAACATATTTTATTACAAAAGTGAGGGATCTTTCTCATTTTGACGGCACGTAACAAACAATAACTCTAAACTGGAATTTTTATATGTTGTTTATATCATTATTACCAAAAATTTTGAATCAATATGATTAATTCCTCCTGAGTTACAGCGTCTTGAAAAACAAAAGTGCTGACGTCAGCATTATTTTCGAACGCCTTCAGAACTGTGTTAAAGCCCATTTACACTTGCAATTTTTGCTGCGATTTCTACTGCAATTTCTTCCTTCTAATGCATGTGAACAAGTAGATGAGTTACGAATGTTTGGACTACATGTACCCTCATCAGAACATTCATAACTTATCCACTCGTTCACATGCATCAGAGGAAGAAAATCGCAGTAAAAATTGCAAGTGTGCACGAGCCTTCATACACAAACTTTAGTTAAAAATCTTTGGTTAAAGGTGCAGATCTACAGTCCGTATGTAAACAAAGCCTTTGTTTACATTTTTAATTTGTGTCCAAAATATTGAGCTTTATTCGACAACTATTTATATTTTCAAGCTTCTAGAGTATAATAAATGATCAAGAAACAACAATCAGGCTTTTCAAGAACTCAAAATATAGTTAAACTGTTTGTATCATAAAAAGTGGGCTCATTTGTGCACATGCGCAGATCGGACTGTAGGTCACCTTTAAGGTTAAGACGGGGCTTCTTACCTGATATAAACAACTGGCTCAAAGTTGGCATTATTTTAGCATTTGATTTTTGGATAAATGCTTGGTGGTATATTTTAACTAAATGTTGTGTATAACACAGTTCTGAAGGCGTTCGAAAATAATGCTGACGTCAGCACTTTTGTTTTTCAAGACGCTGTAACTCAGGAGGAATTAATCATATTGATTCAAAATCTTTGATGAACACTCGTAATAATGATATAAACAACATATAAAACTTCCAGTGATAGAGTTATTGTTTGTTACTTACCGTCAAAATGGGAAAGATCCATCACTTTTGCGGTAATAAAATATGTTGTCAGACGTCCATGTTTATAAACAGTCGCATGGCTACCATCGGAAAATATTGTCATGTTCCGGTAAATTCCGGGAAAATGTCGTGATATTCCGTGATATTCCGCCATATTCCGTGATATTCCGCCATATTCCGTGATATTCCGGCATTCCGTGTTTTCACAACGCCCGAAAAACCTGCCACAGAGCGAGGACACAGACAGTTCAATACTAAAACGCGCTGTTTCTTATACGGGAGGATAAAAAAGATGTATTAAATTTGTGTTTAGAGGAAAAACTCTGTATTTTGAAGGTAAAAAACAAACTATTTTTACTTTATAATAAAAATGGTTCGCACTTTTAACAATTTTAAAGCTTCAGTTACGTTTGCGGTGAAAAAATCGGAAGCATTGCTTATATTGGTCGAAAAATTTTGAATATGCTTGTAATAGTCCGGTAAATTTTTTTTGACTATATTAGTCCGGAAAATTTTTTTGACCCCCCCC